TGCCAACTTAGTCATGCCCATGCCTCCAAGCCCAACCAGCCACACCCACATGAGCAGTTTTGCAAGGCACAGCCCAGGTGGCAGGGGACAGGGAAGGAGACGAGGTGGAAGGGGTCTGGGGGGGTACCTGGGCTCCAGACCTACCACGGTCGGACGCTTGACCAAGTGCTCCAGCTTGGTGTGGCTGAACTCCAGACTGATGACGTTGTACAGCTTGTCCCGCTGGGCCTCGGGCGTCTCGTAGTATCGCACAAACTGGGACATGCTCATCTCCGTGCCCTTCTGGGTGTTCACATCCATCACGTCCACAAGCCGTCGGCTCCCTGCGGGTAGAAGCCACACACGGGTTGCTCTGCGGACTTAAGTCTTCAGATCCTCCATGGGAGCCCCTCGCTAAACAAACGCAGCTCCTCTACCGTTCCCCACATTCCTCACCCCTCTTCCATGACTGTTCAATTACCTCACCCTGTCACCTTTCCTTCCTGGATCTGTCTCCCACCCACCTGCTTCCCTGCATCACCACAGCCTCCATGCTAATCCAGGATGACCTCAAAAGCGTCCTAAAGGGGCCCGGGCAGCAGGGCACAGAGGCTCACACCCAAAATCCCAGCACTTTGGGAGGTCAAGGTGGGTGGATCACCTAAGGTCAGGAGTTTGAAACCAGCCTGGCCAACATGGTGAAACCCTGTCTCTACTAAAAATACAAAGATGGCCAGGCATGGTGGCTCACACCTGTAATCCCAGTACTTTGGGAGGCCAAGGAGGGCCGGTCACCTGAGGTCACAAGTTCGAGACCAGCCTGACCACCATGGTGAAACCCTGTCTCTATTAAAAATACAAAATTAAGGGCCGGGCACCGTGGCTCACGCCTGTAATCCCATCACTTTGGGAGGCCGAGGCGGGTGGATCACCTGAGGTCAGGAGTTCGAGACCAGTCTGACCAATATGGTGAAACCCGGTCTCTATAAATTAAAAAAAAAAAAAAAAATTAGCCGGGTGTGGTGGCGGTCATCCGTAATCCCAGCCTCTTGGGAGGCTGAGGCAGAAGAATCGCTTGAAACTGGGAGGCAGAAGTTGCAGCGAGCAGAGATCACACCATTGCACTCCAGCCTGGGCAACAAGAGCAAAACTCCGTCTCAATAAATAAACAAACAAACATATAAAGATTAGCTGGGAGTGGTAATGGGAGACTGTAGACCCAGCTCTTTGGGAGGCTGAGGCAGGAGAATCACTTGAACCTGAGAGGCAGAGGTTGCAGTGAGCCAAGATCACGACACTGCCCTCAAGCCTCAGTTATAGAGCGAGACTCCGTCTCAAGAAAAAAAAAAAAGGTTTCCTAAAGGAGTCTCCGGAATAGCCCCTCCTACCCACCCTCAACACTATAGCCAAGGTAAGCTTTCTAAAACAGAACCCCGACAGGGGCACTCCTCTCTCTGCTTATAACCTTCAATGCCCCGGGCACAGTGGCTCACGCCTGTAATCCCAGCACTTTGGGAGGCTGAGGCAGGCAGATTACCTGAGGTCAGGAGTTCAAGACCAGCCTGGACAACATGACAAAACCCCATCTCTACTAAAAATACAAAAAAAATTAGCCAGGCGTGGTGGCACACCCCTGTAATCCCAGCTACTTGGGAGGCTGAGACAGGAGAATCGCTTGAACCAGAAGGCGGAGGTTTCACTGAGCTGAGATCACACCACTGCACTCCAGCCTGGGTGACACAATGAGACAAAAAAAAAACAAAAAAAAACCTTCAACGGCTCCCACAGGCTACTGGAGAATCCCTTAGCTGCACATGCAAAGCCTTTCTGTTTATTTAGAGCATTAGGATAGCACTTACCTCTGCAGAAAATTAGCTGTTAGTAGTCTCCCTCCCTAGAATGTGATGCCAGCAAAGTTACTGGACTTCTATGAACCTCTGTGTCTTCATCTTACCAACCATTCCAATGGGCTGGTTGTAAGGATTAAATCAGATGATGACTTGTCACAGTGTCTGGCACGCAAATGAATGGGCCTCCTGTTACTCCCTAGTGCCCATCACAGTTCCTAAATAGCAAATTTCCTTTTATTCTTTTTTAATTTATTTTTTTGTATAAAGATGGGGTTTCACCATGATGGTCAGGCTGGTCTTAAACTCCTGACCTCAGGTGATCCACCCACCTCGGCCTCCCAAAGTGCTAGGATTACAGGCGTGTGCCACCGCGCCCGGCCAGCAAATTTGTCTACTTTCTTTTCTTTCTTCCCTACTATTCTATGAGGACAGAAGTCTTGTCTGTGTCTTGCTTGCTACTCTATTCCAAGTAACAAGAATGGAGGCTGGCCGGGCACAGTGGCTCAGGCCTGTAATCCCAGCACTTTGCAAGGCAGAGAGAGCTGACGGTTTGTCAGCGGGCAGGGGCTGCAGGGCTAACACAGAAGCTTCCCGTCTCCTAGTGCAGAGGGCCTTCCTTTCTTTCTGGACAGGCTGCATCTTCCTGAGTAGGGGGCACTCACACTTATTTGTTCCGTTCTGTTCTGCCGTCATTCATATGTGACGTCATATGACACATGCTGGGCAGGACACCCAAAGTTCATTATTCATTTTTTTAATTATACTCATATTTTTTTGAGACAGATCTTCTCTGTTGTCCAGGCTGGAGTGCAGTGGCATGATCTTGGCTCACTGCAACCTCCACCCCCTGGGTTCAAGTGTTTCTCCTGCCTCGGCCCCTTGAGTAGCTGGGATTATAAGTGCAGGACACCATGCCTGACTAATTTTGGTACTTTCAGTAGAGACAGGGTTTTCCCATGTTGGCCAGGCTGGTTTCGAACTCCTGACCTCAAGTGGGTCGCCCACCTTGGCTTCCCAAAATGCTGGGATTACAAGCTTCAGCCACTGCAACCAGCCCTGATCTCTTTCCCAAAAAAGAAAAAAGGAAAAGAAAAGAAATATACAAACAAACAGGAAAACCCCCAAGAAGCCAGGGACCACCTTTGTTCACAGCCACCTCAACAGGTTACAGGTTAAACCAACCAAAGGCCAGCAAATGATGACAGCCCAAGGCCCGCATCCAGCCTGCTGCCTATCCTTGTGTGACCCAGAGTTAATAATTCTTTTACTATTTTTTTTACTCTGTCACCCAGGCTGGAGCACAGTGGTGCAATCTCGGGTCACTGCAACCTCTGCCTCCTGAGTTCAAACAATTCTCCTGCCTCAGCCTGCAGAGTAGCTGGGATTACAGGTATGTACCACCATATCTGACTAAATTTTATATTTATAGTAGAGACTGTTTCACCATGTTGGTCAGCCTGGTCTTGAACTCCTGACCTCAAGTCATCCATCCACCTCAGCCTCCCAAAGTGCTGGGATTACAGGCTCCGCCCACCTCAGCCTCCCAAAGTGCTGGGATTACAGGCTCCGCCCACCTCAGCCTCCCAAAGTGCTGGGATTACAGGCATGACCCACGGCACCCAGCCTCAATTTTCTTTTTCCTACCAAGAGCTGTAAGTATTGAGGGGTTTTCCACCTTTTTTCACAGAGAGGGAAAACTCGAAAGAATAATACTATTTTGTGATATGAAAACTATATGAAACTTAAATTCTCAGGTCCATTTACAAAGTTTTCCTGGCGCACAGCCGCACTCATTGGTTCTCATATTGTATAGGGTGGCTCCATGCTACAAAGGCAGAGCTAAGTAGTTGCCACACTGACCGAATGTCCTGAAAACCCTGAAGTATTTACTGTCTGGCACTTAACAGAGAAAGTTTGCTGGCCCTTGAACTAGACGAAGCTCTCATGGAGCTTAGATGTTGATCTGGGTAATAGTCTCATCCGTTCACTGAACCTGCCCCATAATAGGCCCATGGTCAATATTTGTTGACTGAATAAACAGAGCCTCTCGTGTGGTAGGAACTGAAAAGTAACACGAACCCTGTGTAATCCTAGAACTTAGAAAAGCAGAGGTGGGAGGATGGTGCTTGAGCCTGGGAGTCTGAGACCAGCCTGGGCAACACAGCAAGATTCCATGCCCTTTTTTGTTTCTTTTTTGAGACAAGGTCTCCCTCTGTCACCCAGGCTAGAGCACAATGGCATGATCATGGCTCACTGCAGCCTCAACTTCCCAGGCTCAAGAGATCCTCCAGCCTCAGCCTCCCAAATAGGTGGGACCACAGGTGGGCACCACCGCATCCAACTAGGTTTTTATTTTTTGTAGAAACAGGGTTTTATTTGTCTTTTTT